TCTTGCCCCGCCTCCTCAGACTGTTGAAAGTTTAAAGACTGTTGAAAGTTTAAAGACTGTTGGAAGTTTAAAGAATGTTGAAAGTTTAAATACTGTTGAAAGTTTAAAGAGAGTTAAAAGTTTAAAGACTGAAAGTTTAGACAGTTGAAAGTTTAAAGACTGTTGAAAGTTTGAAGACAGTTGAAAGTTTAAATACTATTGAAAGTTTAAAGACTGTTGAAAGTTTAAAGACTGTNCACAGACAGAACAACGTGCACAGACTGTAAGAGTGTTCCTGCTGTTAATGTGGGGTGGTAGTAGCTGAGAGTGGTCTCCATCAGACACTCAGAGCTCTAACATGATCGACACTTTAATCAAAACAAATGGTTTAATTCGGTTGTTTTAGTTTCTGCAGGTTTGGTTCTGAGTTCAAATAAAGAACTGAAGTGTTTCCTTCTAAAAGGTGTTTGGACTCAGATTCAAGTTGAAACCAAAGGTTTGAATATAAATTAAATCAAAACAGAAAATAAAGCTTCTTATCTGGACTCCGGAGTCTGTCCTCTCATTCACTTCTCACACAAACATTTTGGATGCTGAGAAATCCAACTCCATCCTGCAGCACCCAAGCCGGACCCCGGCCCAGACCCGAGCCTGGACCCTGGCGGGTCGGATCCATGTCAGGCCGACGTGGGTTCGTAGATGTGGAAGTGGATCCCCTTGGAGCAGGTGATCTTCATCACAGCTCCGTTCAGGCTGCTGTCTGTGATCAGCTTCATCATCCCTTCAGCAATCAGAGCCGGCCTGAGGAGGGACAGAGAGTGGAGAGAGAGCTGAAAGAGCAGCTGAAAAACAGTTGAAAGAGCTGCTGAAGGTGTGATAAAAATTCCAAGTTAAAGACTAAAACGCTGCTTAACAATATCTAAGACTGTTGAAAGTTTCAAGACTGTTGAAAGTTTAAAGACTGTTGAAAGTTTAGACAGTCGAAAGTTTCAAGACTGTTGAAAGTTTAAAGACTGTTGAAAGTTTAGACAGTTGAAAGTTTAGACTGTTGAAAGTTTAAAGACTGTTGAAAGTTTAAAGACTGCTGAAAGTTTAAAGACTGTTGAAAGTTTAAAAACTGTGGAAAGTTTAAAGACTGCTGTAAGTTTAAAGACTGTTGAAAGTTTAAAGACTGCTGAAAGTTTAAAGACTGTTGAAAGTTTAAACAGTTGAAAGTTTAAAGACTGTTGAAAGTTTAGACAGTTGAAAGCTTAAAGACTGCTGAAAGTTTAAAGACTGTTGAAAGTTTAGACAGTTGAAAGTTTAGACAGTTGAAAGTTTAAAGACTGTTGAAAGTTTAGACAGTTGAAAGTTTAAAGACTGTTGAAAGTTTAGACAGTTGAAAGTTTAAAGATTGTTGAAAGTTTAGACTGTTGGAAGTTTAAAGACTGTTGAAAGTTTAAAGACAGTTGAACGTTTAAAGACTGCTGAAAGTTTAAAGACTGTTGAAAGTTTAAAGACTGTTGAAAGTTTAAAGACTGTTGAAAGTTTAGACTGCTGAAAGTTTAAAGACTGTTGAAAGTTTAGACTGCTGAAAGTTAAAGACTGTTGAAAGTTTAAAGACTGTTGAAAGTTTAGACTGCTGAAAGTTTAAAGACTGCTGAAAGTTTAAAGACTGCTGAAAGTTTAAAGACTGTTGAAAGTTTAAAGACAGTTGAAAGTTTAAAGACTGTTGAAAGTTTAGACTGTTGAATGTTTAAAGGCTGTTGAAAGTTTAGACAGTTGAAAGTTTAAAGACTGCTGAAAGTTTAAAGACTGTTGAAAGTTTAAAGACAGTTGAAAGTTTAAAGACTGTTGAAAGTTTAGACTGTTGAATGTTTAAAGACTGTTGAAAGTTTAGACAATTGAAAGTTTAAAGACTGTTGAAAGTTTAAAGACTGTTGAAAGTTTAAA